TGAATTATCCCAAAAGAACCTCACTTTGAAAATCATGCGCCTGATTACAAATAGGACTGAATACCAATTCGCTAAAATCGTCAGTAGTGGTCACTCCGCCTATCATGCATGAGCAAAAAAAAATATAATAACTGATACTTTATTTAGTCAATACATATGAGGACATCAGTGATACAATACCTCTCTTTCTATTCATTTATACATGGAGACCGGCTAAAATGCGCAACTCTGATGCCGCTCGCCGCCATTCCGATAAGTGACGACATATGTGTGTATATTTGACGGTTATTATGATGCAGTGGTACCTACGAGTTACAAAATTGATTAGCATCGAACAATAAAAAATTGATAGCATCGAGCAATGATAAAATTTTCAATCTAAGTACCAATGACATCTACAAACACAAACGATAGTTATTGATGGAATATGAGCATGAACAGTTAACTATGTATTTTTAAATATAGACGTATGAGATATACTTACAAAAAAGTACTCAGCTTGAGCGTATACATCCTCGAATTCCATAAAGGTACGAGGACACTGACAAATCCATAGCTCTCTTGGTGATGCATTAGCCATACTTTATGGAGATAAAATCACAAAGTAGTCGGCACATAAATGAAAGATGTAGCCCAAAGGACCAACATGAGTAGGCGTGAAGCCAACTCTCATGAAGTCATAACATTCTCCTACACGAAGCAAACGGTCAAACCTCATGGTTTGGTCGTCGTACGCAACCGCTTCCATTTTGGTTCCCTGTAAGAATATTAGATCTAACCGATAGATAACCATGGTCTGTAGAAAAAAATTAGACATGGTCCAAAAAGATGAGCTCAAAATGCACCTACTCATCCTTCAAAATTACATGCAAATATGTATCACCATGGTGATGTCGTACGTTGTCTTTCCAAAAAAACCATGGCACTCACATCCCATATGGAAGATATGTGTTCCATTCCCACTTCATGGAATTCAACCCATCTACAATCCCGTCTGTGTCAATTAAAATGATAAAACACACCAGTAAACCTATGTTGACAGAAAATGATTGCCTCGATCAATTACAAGATAAATGTAACATAGTTACCTATAGATGTGTGTATCGGTGATTGCAGGCGACGGGTCAGCGTACACCCTCTTTCTTTTGAGCGACCGACAGCCAGAACCCATCTCGGCAACTGAGAAGCCCAAATCATGAAAAATATACAGGATGACATTAATCAGTCTGAATATAATATACTATTATTCTATGAGATCGGCAAGCAATTAAAGATTTAAAGTTGTCCGCGTGCTCTGTGCCTCTCTCCTGTTATCTTGATGACGTCATGTAAGGCCTCTGAAATAACTACAACACCTACATTGTTAATTTGTTAGCATTCATGACCGCAAATTTGATGCCCGTGCGTTGCCATGTGCCAACAAAATTTGAACTGCAGTATACGGTGATAGATGGTGATGCAAATCAAACCACCAAAATGAGATCATGTTTTGGTTGCTATCATGATGCCTTAGAAATAATTTTTGTTTTATGATTTATTATTGGAGTTGTGTAGCCTCCAGAAATCCAATCCAAACAGGGACATGAATTTTTTAGGATTTACATGCTCCAAGAAGTATAGGGAATAAATTTTATAAAGAGATAAAAGGAGCTAAGCCTTGCATTAGCTAGAGATCCCAACAGGCATCACATAGCCTCTGCACGTATCTATCCAAGACTCTTAAAGAGGCATGATTTCAGATCACACAAGCACCGGAGGCAATAACAAATAAAGAAACGCATCAGGGCAGAATGGGATTCCCTAATAGGGTGGATGTTTGTGGAAGACAGAAGATGTTGGAAGCTCCTTGTGGCAGTCCGCAGTCCTCCTCGAGGGCACAGCAAGACAGCGAAGGTGATGGCGACAGGCGACGACAATGGCGAAGCACAGCCGGTGTGCAAGGGAGGGCGCGAGGACGGAGGCCGATGCGAGCGAGGGCGAGCTCAACTGGCGAGGGTGGGCGCTATGGCGAGGCCACATGATTTATGGCAGAGGATTGATAGCAGTCTCTCTCTTTCCTTTTGTCTTAATTCTCTTTCCTTCTGTGTTAATTCTCTTTCCTTGGAGCAAGGCGCAGAGGAGCCGGGAGAGGCTCGTTGCCATGTATGCTGGTGCATGCAAACATGCAATGTGTATATAGATAGCATAATAATTTTCTACTTCCTAGTTTGCCGTGATTCCATGTAAATTTTTTTTGCATGTGCTAGCTTTCTCCCACGATGCAAATATGCTAGTGCTAGCACCCTTATTCATCCACATTACAATTTACAAACAACAAAATGTAAAAAAAGATTATTTCTATAATTGTATCACAATACTAAACAAAGTAGCATAGTAGCATGGCCAAATAAATTTGCTTATAAATTGCATTAAACACGTAGTGTTTTCCTCCAAATTCATCGATCAAGATTGTGATTCATTCTAAATTAGAGAAGATATATATATATATATATATCACTTTACCGCAACCAATAGAGTATTTAAACACATGGGTAATGCTGCCTGTCTTCAAAAATCTCTCACAAAACCTTAAAACAATATATGTTATACTCACCGTATAAATGTCACTTTACCGCAACCAATAGAGTATTTATGCCTTCAAAAGTATTCTATTTTCAACTAATGTGATCTACCACAGAATATACATAGCAAAGAGAATATACGAAGCACAGAATACATAGGAATTTAGCACCACTACCATGGTATAAAACAAAATTGTTTATTCTTCCAATTCATGTGTCATCAATAGACATGGTGAACTGTAATTTCCTAGTCATGAAGTCTGGGCTTTTGTACAACCTCAAATCACAAAGAAACTATACTGGACCATTATCTCTATTCTCCTCTCTTTTGGAAAGGAAAGACACTAATGCAATGCCCACAACCAATGCAGACAAAAAACACAACAGATAATAGGGTTTGTTTTTTCATGTGAATTCCTTGTCCTGAAGTAGAAACATCAAGCTAGTACTTCATCTATAATCAACTTATCGGCCAAACAAGTTTTTTGTTTTTTTTTCCAAATTCCCCTGTTGATATGAAATTAACTCAGATGGTTAACTCATACAAGCAATGCTTGGATGTGCCATGTTACTTATCAACCGACCAAGCCCGCAGGATGGATGGGGATCGGAGTCACGGATCTAGAGCCCGAGGGCGGCTGCCCGTCACCGACACCCATGCACGCAAGGCCGTTGGGACGGGGAAGGGCGCCACGGCCACCATCGGGAGGGGAGGGGGAAGGGCGCCGCCACAGTCGAGAAGAGATCACAAGCAACTCATGACCGCACAAAACCACATATCAGAGCAAAGGCGATAAGATAACAAATGAACGAATAGTTAATCTTGGAGTAAAGCCATAGAATTGATAGTGCAAAGCTGAATGTAAAATCCGAGCACGACATCATATCCAACTAAGATTTGGGATACCTTTTCCAGCAAGCAGGGCACACAGCAACAACATCCCCAAAGCTAAGCATCAGTTCGAATATATGCCCAATCTGCCATGCCACTGGAAGTAACTTCTAAGCACCTAAAAGATTAATCTTGTATTAGACTATCAGTAGGCAACAACTACAGAGCAGTAAATATATGTGAGCGTAGCACATAAATCAAAACACAATTTATATGAAAGGATCAATTATTAAAAGGAGAAAACCTTAAGACGGCATGCCTGAAACCCAGTAGACGAGGAAAGCAGCCCCAAAAAACATACTGTAGTGGTTGCTGATGAATCCTAAACTCATCCCAATCTACTTCACTTCAATGACGGTGGGACAAAATTGGATTACAAGCACTAATTGTAGAAATAAGAATGTGTTGACATTGGGCAACATCGGCGAACCCATCAACGGCAAGTACAACACACAAGCAGGAGCAGCGCGCACTGATTGTTTGAGGTTTCAACGTTAAGACGACAGTGGGGAAAAAACTGCAGTGATTACCTCGCATTGGGAGAGCTCGGCCATCTAGCCTGCCATTTTGTATCACACCGAAAGATCCAACCTGAAGCCACCCTATCAAAAATCCACAGAAGTTGAAAGATGATTATTGAGTAAAAGATCGGTACAGGTGAGTCATTACATGAGCAAGGAACTATAGATGAGAACTAAACAAAACCTAACAAATCACATGGTCACAAGCACCAAGTGCTCCACCACGCCGGATCGACAATGCAGCCGGATCCTGCCAAGAAGAAGAAAGGATCCCACCGGACACGAGATTTCGACACCCTTCTCCATGGGCGACCGTGGATCTAGCTGACCCTACATGGATTCGATCCTCGCTTGTTAAATCCGAGCCAAAGGGAGGGGAGGAGAGGAAGGGGCCATGATGATTCTTGACCCGCCGTTCTTGTAGGTGGATCTCGCCGAGCATAAAACTCGAGGAAGAGCAGGGGCTGGGTGGTTGCCCGCGACCGCCGGTGTATGCCGCCATGGCTCCAACCGACTTGAGGAAGAATAGAGGTGGCACAGGCGCCCTTGCCCGCCTGGTGGCCGACGCCCTCGCCTCGGTGGTCCTTACTCGCTCGTGTTGGCCTTTGCTGGCCTTCTCGGAGCTCCCGCCTACGGCAAGCGCCTCGACCTCAACCATGCCGACCAGCAAGCGACGGTGGCGTGAGCGTGGAAGCCAGGAGCGGCGAGGTGACAATGGTCTTGAGGTGCGGGGATGGGGATGGGGAGCGGCACGAACGAGAACGGGCGAGAACTGCAGGAAAAAAGACGACTTTTCAACCAGCCCAAAACCAAATGACCCAACAAGATTTTTTCTCTCACGAGAAACCAAAGACCACCAAAATTAAAAACCAAAGACCAAAGACCAACCAAATGAATGGCCCGAAACACAAAGGACTTCGTTTCAAGCATATGCTCGATAGACTAATACGGTTGGCCTGAGAAGCGAAAAGAGATATGAAGGCTTTGTTCCAAGCATATGCTTGATATGTTGTCTTTGGTCTAAAGGATGGAAATGGGAAGGAAAAAGAGACAAAGAGCATTGTTACAGGTATGCCGTTCCTTCCCATACTTTCTAACCTTTAAGGCCCCGTTTGGTTCAAAGGATTTTCATAGAAAAAGTGAAGGAAACAGAAACGAAGGAAAGGAATGGAAGAAGATCGTTTGGAACGGAGGAAATAACGACCCCTTTCCTTTAGAATACTGTAGCTAGATGCTGATTTCATAGGAAAGAAAGAATCTGCTCTGACCCCTTGTTTTCGCTTCCTTCGCGGAAGCCCGCGGCAACTTTGGCAACAACAGAGGCAACTTACGGTAGTTAAGAGTAATTAGTACCCATATTTGCCTAACATGTTACAATTCCTATGTTATAAATTCCTGTGTTCCAAACAGCCTAAATTTTCTGTTTCTGTGTTTTGAAATCCCATAGTTTTTCACTTTTTATCATACCTTATTCTTGCATTTTGGATTCCTTCGTTCCAGACAGGTCCTAAATTTTCTAGTAATGCACAAAGGGTGTTTGGCCTAATCATGAGCATCCCTATATCTGAAATGCTTCCTTTTTTTTTTCGGGAGAGGCATCTCAAGTTCTCACCATCTTGACTTGTCGCCTTGTCGGTAGTCTTGGGCTCCGGGCCGAGGAAGTGAGCAGCTGGTGCAGCTCGGGCATTGACGCTACCCAACCCGTATTCCAGCTCACTGTGATGCCACAGTGGTTGAGCAGCAAGAGGTCGGTACTCACTGCTCAGTACTCCCAAGTGGCCAAGTCCCAACTGCTTTACCTTTATTCCTACTACTATTATATCTTTTATTTTATCGGCTTGCTTGTTCTGAAAGTCTTGAGATAGATCGTCAGAATGTTTATACAGCGGCCCACGTTCCCACCAACTGCTCGAAATGTTCTGTCCACGAGTGGATTCTGGATTTGTTTTTATTATTATCTGATTTCATGGACCAGGCCTGCTATTAGTTCAGAAAAGGCTAGAATGAGAACGGTAAGGTAGTGAAAAGAAACACCGGAAAGTGCTGGCTAACATGCCTTGATAAATGGTTGAATGGTAGCCTTAGCCAAAAAAACAAAGGAATGCAGCAGCATATGGTTTATTTGGGGTTTATGCCGCAGATTGAAATGCTCCCTAGTCCCTTCTGGGGAAAGACTCAAAAGGGTGGGTGGGTTGGAGACGATTCTGTCCTTGTTTAGTTCGCGAAATTTGGATTTTGGGACTACTGTAGTATCTTCGTTTTTATTTGGCAAATAGTGTTCAAACATGGACTAATTAGGCTCAAAACGTTCGTCTCGTAATTTCCCACCAAACTGTGTAATTAGTTTTTCTTTTCATCTACATTTAATGCTCCATGCACGAGCCGTAAACATTCGATGTGACAGGTACTGTAGCAACTTTTTAGAAATGGAGGTGGAGCTAAACAAGAGCTCTGTTTGATGAGTGTTTGCTTCCAGGAGCCAAGAATGTGTTTGGTTTATGGCCCCGTCTCTATTTTTTTAGCAATCGTCCAATATTCTCGTCTTTTATTGGCAGGAGAGATATAGAGAGATATAGTGACGTTGTTTTTAACACCGTTAGCCATAGCTATGTCCCACCTCCCATTTTTTTGTGCCTATCTTTTTTTCCACACCCTTATCTTCTCGCATGTTGTGACCTCGTGTAGATAGAAGTGTGGAAAAATCATGTACTGGCTGATATCGTTTTCCGTATTATGATACCGTTTCCGATCGCTCCTATTTTTATCAAAACATCAAAGTTATCATTTTGAGATTTTAGCATAGCCGTTCTTTACCTTTTTTCATTAGATATTTTGATAAAAATAGGAAGATGCCGTATCGACCGCTTTCTGATTCCGTACTGTAGTACCAATTCTGACCATTTTTATCTTTTGATAGTTCCTTGCCGCTCGCTCTGTTGTGGCTTGCCCGCACGCTGTTCACCCTACCCAAAGGCCCCTGTGCTATCGCCTCCCTATCGTCGCCAACCCCCCGAGTCACTATAAAAACATATTATATGATGAATCTAATTATACTTATTTAATGTCATAGATGTTAGCACTTGTTTTTGAGAAAAATTTGGTCCAACTATTTTTTTTTACTTTAACACTATATGCTAGAATTGTATTTTTCCTAGGACAAGGAGTATACAATTTTGCTGGTCTATTGTCATTTCCAGACTAAGATCTGCTTACCGCCTCCGTCCAAAAAAAACTTCGTTTGTTCCAAATTTGAAGTCGTTTTGTTTTTTCTATGTGCAATAGTTTTTCTATGTATCTAGATACACTATGTCTAGAAACATATAGTAAAAATTATGTGTCTATAAAAGTCAAAATGACTTACATTTTGGAATTAGAGAGTACAATTCTAAGTTTAGATTAAGTCAGACTTTCTAATGTTAACTAAGTTTATAGAAAACATTACCACTATTTACGACTTCAAATAGGTATACTGTAAAAATATATTTCACGATTAATCCAATAAAAAATATTAGATACCATAAATGTTACTGTTTTTATATAGATTTGGTTGAACCTTTTGACTTTTTCAAAAGTGAGAATTGAGTTTTTTTTTTGGACGGAGAGGGAGTATTATGGCCTATAGGGCCTGTTTGGCCAACTTCAATATTTATGCTGGATTTGTAGTTTGTTGACTGAATTAAAGCGATTTAAATGGTATGTTCAATCTAAATTATAAACAAAATGAGTCATGTAAATACATGTGATTTCCTAAAGCAAGAGCGCTACCAAACATTTTAAATCAACTTGTAGAGTTGTTCTAAATCAAACTATATTAAAGCCAAATTTATATAAAAGAGAATCAATATTTATTATGTATTATTTATACATAATAAAATATACTCATATTTTCATAGATGTTGTATTTTTCTGTAAAATCATTCATCATTAAGATAGTTTTATTACTTGGGTTGGTTTAAGGGATTGATTTATTTATGAACGGAAGTACATATATATTAAATTATTCTGATCCTGACATCCTCTGTCTTTGGGTCAGTGGATTGGTGAAGCCACACCTGCATTTTTTTCTTAGGTCTGGTTTAGTTTCCAAAAATTTTTACCCTAAACTATCTCATCGAATCTTGCGGCACATGCATGAAGTATTAAATATAGATGAAAAAAACTAATTGCACAGTTTTGTTGGAAATCACGAGACGAATGTTTTAAGACTAATTAGCCCATGATTAGCCATAAGTGCTACAGTAC